TTCTTGTAAATGTATGTCCCATGACGTCACTCGTCTCAACCACGTACGAGAATAGTGATGATTATTGTATAACAATAATTTGAAAAAATGGTATACACTCAACACATTATTTTTAATCAATAAAGTGTTATTTTATTTACTAAAAATAAGTATTCCCATTTACGAGTATGCGTATTTTGTCATAACCCACTTACTAATGGCACGGGTTTTAATTACGTAATGAAACGATGACAGATATTCGCAAACATAAATAGAGCCAAGCTCTGTAGCGTTTGTATGGAATTATAAAGATTAATCAGAACGAGATTGTGTGTGCAATTCAAAACACATGTTCATGTGTTCGCTTCACGGGAGATCACGTGGCTTTCCGCTTGAATGCATACTGATAAATTGTAATCAGTTACTATGGTTATTGGTAGGCCATAGACAGACATAGATGCGTTTTAAGATGCTTGTTATCTTGTAATATGGTTAATGCTTTGCAATAAAGGAGTTCTAATAGTTATTGATCAGTTGCTATAGTTACTGATTTGCTGTTCATTACTAATGACAATGCACATACGACCGTTATATAGCTTGGCTATCCAATTGCTTTAGCCACGTGACCTGGCGTCCCGATACAAAACAACAATACTGGACTACAGTGGCATTTAGTTGTGAGCAATATTCAAAGAATTTGTCAACTCAATCTGTACTAGATGGTTTTATTTAAAACACAATCCATGTCTAAAATAATACTATTTCGATTGAGTACGTCCTGTTTAAACACAACCTACTCACATATTCAATTATTTACTACTCGAACCAAACCTAATTGGAATTTTGATAGTAGAAAATTTGAACACGCAAACAACACTACACTTTATGCCATTAACATATTACAATAAAAGTTTATTGACAAGAACAACAAACTCAAAAGAACAGTCCCTTATCACACGAACTGTAGCTAATTCACACAAACCATGACGTCATATCATGTGCATCACCCACGTATGTATTTTTTGGAGCATCTACTGAGTTGATCGTTGGTGGCGTGGTTGCGAAACCCAGAATCGGTTCGATTCAATTGGAGCTCTATGAATAGGTGAACGCATTGTATGATATCACCGACTTCCATGTTCATTGGAATGATTTTAAGGACATGGCTACAATGCTTGGAGACAAAATACATTCATTTGGAGTACTACGAGTATATTATTCAATAATTAATAGGGAACAATGTCGATGACGTATTCTTGACGTGTGAGGTGGTGCAGTGTGGCAACGACGACAAAACGCTGGCAAAAGGACCTTTCTGCAGCTGTTGGGAAGAGTTTGCTGTGTTTAAAGCTGTTACAGATGATGGCGTTGCAGATGACCAGGACGAAGCAGATATTGACGTCGTTGTCTTTGTCGTGTCTACAATAAAATCAACAATAGTTCACATTAGACAAGTGAAACAAGTCCACATTTGCAATATAGCACTTTTTTTATTAGTTTAAGTATTATTAGTTTAAAGAAACATGTAGGTGCTGATGTGCATATACAGTAACTTGTGTTGTTTTTGTTTAAAAATCAAAGAATAAATATATCGTATAATCGTTAGCTTTACGTTTTAAAATTCGTCTATCGAAAAGTGTAACTAATATTTTGTACGTCTTGGAATATTGGAACGTAATCTTACAGAGCGTACATTTGAACCGTTAGAGTGGTATTACCGGAAACGGAAATTGAACATGAAAACCCCGGGCACATTAACACACCACGTGATTCATAAACAGGGTACAACAATCGCGCAAGGGTTAGTCTTAATTCTCCGTCTTTCATCTTTTCAAAGTTTCTATTTCCGACATTTCACTCTACATTCGAATCATAAAAGACATTACAACAAGAATGGAACCATTTGTCTGTTTGTCTTATTGTAAAAATGTTACATAATACTATGCAAGGATTTATAGGCGTGTGTTGCCCCTATTGGGCACAAAAGAGTGTGTTTAGTAATGTCGGTAGCTGACGTAAAATAAAAGTGTGTATTACTGCGCCTGGAGATAACCGTCGTAACAAACATAAAACAATATGTATTAATTACTACATCTAAAATCGCGCGTAAAAGAAATATGTGTATTACTGCGTTTGGGAATACACGTAACAAGCACAAAATAACATGTATGTATAACTGCATCACAAATCTCGCGAAAAACAGAAAGAAATACGTATTCAAGTTGCTGTGTCTAGTAATGTGGTAACATGCGTAAAAGCAATTTACAAAATCGTATGTATTACTGCGTCGAGCCATTTCCGTAATATGAGTAAAACTATAGTATGTATTACTGTGATGTCCATACCAGGCGTCTGAAAGTGCGTCGGTAACAGAAGTAAAACAATAGGTGTATATTAACGCCAGCAGCAGTAAAGTACTAGAATGTGTGCACTGTTGTGTATATACATGTACTAGCAGCCTCAAGTGAAATACACTCTACCAATACTTTCTTTAACGCAAAGAATACTAAAACTGTACATCGCTGTCCAGAGATTGTCAAAATAGTCCCCGTTATGTCTATAAATGACAATAACGTAAAACAAAGCGCATGCAATTCTACGCCTATAGCTGAGGTCAAAGTCCGTTGTATGTATTATTTAGTATCGTTCACAGTATCTAAACATTAAGCGTCAATTCGACCGACATTCCTCCTAGTATGTATAGACAAGAACGGCTTTCAATATAAAGCATACAAAATAGGTGTATTGGGTAAATTATTCATAACAGTATTTAGTAACATCATTAATTATATTATATTATATTATATTACATGCAAATTATATGTTTTTTGCCAAATAATTATAAAACATATATGAATTCTGACCGGGGTGTTACGACCTACCTGTGCTTTCCGGTGGCGTCGTTTTCTCTTCGCTGTTGACCACGTTGTTAGATTTGATAGCTTTCTTTTTTGGTTTGGCTTGGGTAGCTTTATCACCTTTCCTGAATTTAGCTCTTCTGTTTTGAAACCAAACCTGAAACATGAAAATCTGTTATGGATGTTCATATTCACTGTGATATTTTGATTTCTCGTATTGGGGATTGTTGCTGCTCGCCAAAAACATTAATACACGCAAAATTTTGATAAAAACTTGTTGCTCAAAGCGTGAATCATGTACGGCATAGAATACGTTGCGTGGGTTTTTAGAGTGTGATGTTATGAACCAAATTTGAGCCAGGAAATGTTAGACAGGTAACGGACGACTGTGTCAGAAGAATTAAAATGAGGTCATGAGTAGTTGGACGAGAAACAGGACGTATATATACCTACAAATGATACCAGGGTACGTTAGACTGGTAACAAGTCGTATCTATACTTAAACTCATATTCAGAATTCCAAGTAACAGAAAAATATACGGATATACATAATTTCAAAAATTTTTTTCAAGATTTGATATAATGCGCGACCCGTCTGAGTGATTATTGTTACGTTGTTCGGAATGTCTGCCTCGTTCAAATTTAAAATGTGTTCTACGATTTGCTTCGTTAAACGTAGTCATGGTATTCCATCGATAGGTAAAGCGGGTTACGTACAAATGTTAGCTAAGTCTGTAGTTCTAGACAAACTATAGTAAAAAGCACCATCTGTCACGTCAGGCATACAGTATGCCGTGTTCTGATTCCCCCTGTGATTATTTGGTCAACGTGTCTCGATGCAAGTCAGTCGGCAAATTAAAATAAACCAAAATAAACCAATTAATTTTGCACACCGTTTTCTCCCAAAAGATCTATAATTCAATTAAAACTCTTATAACTGAATACGAAGTGATATTCTGTGTAGTTTGGGACTGTGTATGAAAGCAACGAGAAACAAAGAATTCACAATTTGCAGCAACGTGAATGAGATTGGGTCGGCGTTACAAGATTCTTAAAATCTGCAATTAATTTCAGAAATGCAATACATTTGATTTTAATAAAACTCTCTTGATCGTTTTAACTTGTTCGACGTTCTCCATTGTTCAGCGCCGTCTTGGTAGATATGGCGACCCAAATGTGTGGTAAACGCAACCATACATCATATTTAAAACACACAACAATAACATAACAATTATCTTATTGAAAGTATACTTTATGTTTACACTCATATAATATTGTAACAATCTTACGACGAAACATAACTGCTAGCAGAAATCAGATTTGAGACGGGCAACTCACTGGTATATGTTCATTATATCTACTTTGAGACTCTACCCACGGTAGGAAGGCGTGGAAGACGACACTGTCTATGCGTACCAATGAATGTCACGGAAACGAACATTATTGTTTATTTCCATGCGATGGAAATGATATGGAAGTCAATTTAAATACAATTGATCGACGAAATTGAAACAAATAAACATTTGTTGATGGCTGTACCTGTACTCTGGCCTCTGTCAAGTCGGTCTTCAGGGCCAATTCTTCTCTTTTATATATATCTGGATAATGGGTCTCTTGAAAAGCTCTCTCCAACTCTTTCAACTGCGCACTCGTAAATGTTGTTCTAATTCGTCGCTGTTTTCTCTTTTCGCCAGGTCCTCCGCTGCCAATTGTGCCCGTACTATCGTGTAATACGCGGTGCATATACGGAACACCTGGAATATAAACAATAATGCTTGTGTTCAAGAGCCTATTCCAATATTTTTATTTACTATGACAATATGAAAATGTACTATAATATTTTCTAAGAAATGTGAAGACATTTACACAAGAATTTACTGCAGATCGAGAATATGTGTTGGCGTATTGAGTCTGGAAATACAGATATGTTTGTCAATGCGTCATTCGCTCCTAGTGGTTTGACTATACGTTAGCATCACGACACATTTATGGCGCTGAGTTGGGGCTAGATTTGAAATATATTCTCGAATTGTTAACGACAACATATGTTTTTCGCGAAATATCAGATTAGATTGTTGAATAAATGTGATAATAAACATCCTTTATTAAGCAAGTTCTTTTAAAAATAAATTAGGCACTTCAAATTCAAAAGTATGTTTTTCTCTTCACATTGACCGCCGTCAAGCACATGTTAATATTAATCAACGCAAGCAAACTCGCTCACGCAATGCTGTAACACGTCCTGTTTGAACATCGTCGAGTGGAATACACGACTCGTATTTCAGTGATCAGAGAAATACTCACAGCCGCGCTCCCACTTGCCTATAGAGCTGTTAACGAGAATGTTAGTTGATACCACAATGCCCGTCCATGTTATTAGGTTGACTGTTTGCATTGATAATTAAAATTTGGTTTTTCGTCTGCTGACTGAAGCCACTATTGTTTTACAAAGCAAACTCGACTACCCATGTGCACAATAAACTGTCGCTAATTCACAAATACTTGCAGTTTAATTTCACTAAGCGGGCAATCGTATAACTCCCTTACTTCAGTTCTTTTATACAACATTTGCTAAAGCAAGCGTACACACCGCCAGATGCAGACAGCCCAGATTATCGACACTGTGGTGGAATAATCGTCATCCGATCGGCATGGACAAGCAACATCACGATTATGCAATGTTGGTCATGAAAAATCGTCATGTTTTATATACGTGAATCGCAACGTTTCGTTATTTGTGGTTTATTTCTCACATGGCGCAGTGATCATCTCGTCACCAATCTATGGTCACGTGGGCCTACCCTCTAGTGTATGTTTCCTCTTTTCTTGATACTAACAATAGAATCATATTTGATAAAGTTTCCCACGGTAAAACCAACTTCATATTTTGTGACTTTGAGCTATAGGCATTGTTGTTAGTCATTCAACTTCATCGTTGTAAAAGGGTAGCATGATAATAATTTCATAACCCATGATATTGACACATTTATCAACCCGTCCCTTGTATGTCAGTCGACACGTGTCTAACACAGCGTTCATACACATGGGTGTTAGTGCGACTAGGGGGGATTTAGATTGTACACTAGAATGAAAGCACGCGTTGAGCGGCGTACCAGCCCAAAGAACAAAACCAACACGCCTCGGTCTAATTAAACTCTCCTCATATTTTCGTTGATGATGTTAGTTTTCCGAGTTTAAAAAGATTTACATTCTCTCTTCTTGGGTAACTCTTTTACAACAAAGCGGGTGGATTAGCCTCATGAATACCAAATAGGGCACAGATGAATGCCAAATAAAGATCAATAAAACAGAATGAAAAGTAAATCATCTTTAATCTCATCAACGTGGAAAAAGGCTTGAATCGTAATTGGATGGGACAAATAGGGCAGTCTGTCAGGCATGTAAGACACCAACTAAAAATCACAGTGAAGTGAATTGAAATAGTTATTCAATGTTTTTTTTTATTATTTATTTACCAATTAGTTTAACGCAATGAGTATGGTAAACTGTATAACTAATACCAAAGAGCAAATCTCTGCCCAGTGCCCGGTTAGAATACTACACTGCCTACACGATGCCGGGCTGCCGTCCATGTCGGCTACACGATGTCGGGCTGCCATCCAGGCCGGCTACACGATGTCGGGCTACCGTCCAGGTCGGCTACACGATGTCGGGCTGCCGTCCAGGTCGGCTACACGATGCCTGGCTGCCGTACAAAGCGTCCGGCTACAGTGCTCGCTGGTTACAAGGTGTCGACACCGTCCCTTTATCCCGGGATAGAGGGACTGTGGTGTCGGGCTGCAGTTATTATCAGTGATTTGGGGTTTGGTTTATGAGTTTATGTAAATATAAAATTCGTAATAAAAAGCGATAAAGCTTTTATGCGGTACTGTTTTATGTTCTTTTCGATAGCTGATACGAGAATGCTGGAGTTGACGTGAATAACTTGCACAATCTGTAAATAAAAATGTAATGTACTGACAACAGTGAATTACAATTACACGTAGAAGCGAATAGCGGTAAATATAGTATGTATTATTGGGTAGTAGGTAGTTCACTATCCGGCTATCTGAAAAGAGTTATTTTCTCTTTGCTGGGGTGTTCAATTCGTACCAACATTCCAACGTGTCCACGTATGAATCGGATCGTATGGTGCACCTGTAACTGGCCGAATGCCTCGGTTTCAGAACGGAACTGTTAAACTGATTTTACTCGAAAGATTGCTGCCACTAATTATTATTTTAGTAATTACTTATGCTAGAGCTATTTTTTGTTACGTCGGTTTGGTAAATGTTCACTTGATGTTCAGTGTCTGCTATTTCGTTATCTATTGCTCGAATGTTTATTGTAGACAACAGTTTTACTAGAATAGACTTTCATCGAGTAGCTTACAATAATGCATTCAGAATGTTATGTAACATATCATGTAACACTATTAATAGTCAATCTTTTGTAATATTCTATGTCGATGACTTCAATATTAGGTACGCGAGACGAGTTTTAGCTTTTTTCAAGGCACTATGCAGAGTACTAATTATGTTCTAAAGAATTTGTTAGGAAGTGATGTATATTTTAAATCACTTATGCGGAGTATGTTCTTAAGTAAGTGTAGGTTTAAAAAAATAATAATAATAATAATGATTAATTTCGAAGTTTCACCGATTGAACGTTCGTTGTCACTGTGCCTACTATCTATATAACACAAAATACTGCATCTAATGAAATGAGATGAACTAGTACATTCCGTATTACTAGGGGTCCTAGTAATAACATTTATAAAATAGAGCAGGTTACAAAGCTTTAATATTTTGTTCTTGCATACAAATTTTTAAACATTCGTTGCTGCTCAATGAACTGTTACGATGTATTTTAAGTGTGCTCTGCTTAGAGTCATGGTGGTGTAAGCAAGATGGTTCATATGTGTGCCGTAATACCATTGATATATCAACATTTGGCGACTTTTCTCTAAGCGACTTATATTTCAAAATAACCTGGTTATAAATAGCACGAATCGCCTGAAATATTGCAAAATGTTGAGTATTTTCATATGCGGTATACCAATATAAAAGAGAAATAGTGCTTTCGTAACGTATTTCCCTTTCAAAAATACAGATTATAATGCAGGATAAGCCGTTTTACAGTGCATGCTGTGAAAACAAATCTGCTTCTCCGGGTTGTTTCGAGCTGGCAACTGTCGTACTAGTAGTACTACTGTGATCATGCCTATGCTACAGTAAGCGCTCGGATAGTTTAACAAGTTACGGTGTTTCTTCATATAGTGCTGGTAACCGCTGCACCACAACGCCTATGCAACCTCATTTGAAGAAATAAAGCAAGTTAATACGCTCTTGTCCAACCCGTATCGACTAGAATACAGGAACAGCGATTGCTTTCAACGCTTTGTTCACCAACTTCCCTTCAGTATAAAACATGACAAATTGAACAAAGAAAGTGTCAATAAGGCGCACTTGACACGGAAAATTAACCACAAAAAGGATGTTTATTATTCTTTAAATTATCCAATTTTCACCAAATTCAACTTGCCCGTAAAGTGTAAACAATTTATATTGAAAGGGGATTTCCGACCATAGTATTAACAATTGACGTCAAAATAAACTAGTCTTCCGTTCGTCAACTATCTATATTGTCCCTTCGCGTTTGCACCTTTCATTGGAATTAACAAATATGTTTGGGTTATCTTAATTTAGATATTTCACGATCACCGCTCTCAATGTTGTTCCATCGATGTACGATGTCTGATTGAGGAGGGAACATGGAGTCATAATCACCGCTAATGGACTAGTAAGTCACAATATACATCTTTAAACGCTGGTAAATACCGCCCTGTTCCTGGAACTACGAGCTTTTATCATTTCATAAAGTTAGTCACCTATCTAATAAAACCGATATTACACGATTAATATGTACAGTCGTATCCTAATAGTAATCGCAGCTAACGGGTGAAATGATTCCTGTCTGTAAAATGCAAATTTGGGTGATTTGACAGCAACAGTCATTCATTTTATGTAGCAAAACAGTCGTAGCTTTTTAAGAAGCACGTTACGCACATACTTCTCATTGTATATTGACTAAAAATACTGACGTGTTCGTTTCTATATCTCAACACATAGCCACCCTTTCATGCAGGAACGCAACCGCAAACTTCTTTGTGTTACCCTATATCAATGTATTGATCTGGGTGATCAATGATATCGGGTAAAACACGTAGTTGTGAAAGCAATTTCAACAAACCCATTAAAGTACATTTCGCAGTTATGATTAGCATATGCAGGAATTGCATCTAACTTTTTAGAAATATAACTTTTTAAATGTGTGGAACTGGTATCACTGAAATGTGCGCATATACGTGGTGTTTGTCGTGGTAAATATCGTTCATTCCCCATCTCTCCACGTTAATGATGTAGTGTACTCAAGCAATCATAGCGCGCACATATACTTTTACCTGTATGCTAGTGTTTCATTCTACCATCGCCAAGTCCATCGCCATAGTATATCCGAACCGTGACCCGGAAAGGTACCCAGGTTGGCAAAGGACTGTTAAGTCCATAGCATTCAGTTTAATGTCCGATGCAGTCACAACCCAAGAAAAAGGAATTTATGCCCGATACCATCATAACACAGGAAGGAACTGTGCCTCCGATGTCGACATGCACGACAGAGCCAATTGCTTTATAACGTATTTTATTTTATTTGCAAAGTGCGAATAATCAGCAATTGAGTTAGTTTTCATGTGTATTTTTAGAAGTTATATTCACCTCGAAAAATGACACGTTTGTCAAACGTAAATAGAACTGCTAATTTTGTTATAAAAGCTAACAAGAAAGAAATTGGTTGTTATGAATCTCAAGAAATATATTAGTTTGCAAGTGACATGCTAACGTTACACGCTATGCTTACATTGCAGTACATAATTCAGTATAATAAGAAAATCATATAGGAAATAGGCACTAGGTATAACGAAATTATGGACAAACTCGACTAATAAATCAAATCAACTTAGAACAATGATCGAATAAAATAATTATAGACTTAGTTTAGAAATTGTAATAAATGAACCCAGAAACAAAAACTACAGAAAATTTGATTAGTTGGTTTGATAAATGTGTTTTTGGTGCAAGTTAGCGGTAGACTACCGCCGTTACATGGTGAAGTTATAATTACGGACGAGATTTAATAGCTACGCAACTCACCTGTGCTGTACGGCGAACATTGTGTCACGGGTTGGTGGTCCATCACACCGGCTATGCTGCAGGTTCCCGTCATACTAGCGGTGCCGCTAGCGTAGTTTACGGACGATCTAATACTACCGTACGGATAACCAGTGGATTGGTTAACTTGATTACACGACCCGTAGTCGCCATACGACATACCCAGCCCGCTGGTGTCAACGGGCAAGCACGACTCGTACGAATTCTGTCCTAAATATGAATAGTCCATTTTAACTTTTTTATTCACAACTTCAGTTTCTGAGTAGAGTCAGATGGGTCTTTACGGTTAGTAGTTTTCAATACTGATGTCAGAAAAATTCTTTGACGTTTTGTAGTCAGATAGAAGTCTTTCTTTTTTTCCGAGAACCAATCGATTCCCTGTGATTGGTTAGTTTGACCGACAATTCAACCAATCATAATCACCCACTTCCAGTCCGTAGCAATTGGTAGTGCGGAAAAAGCCATTTGTTTGCATGTATTAATGTGGAAGCCAGTTCTTTATCCATCGCTTTGGCTTCGTCTATTGACTCGTGGCCCCTTTCAGCAATGACAATTTACATGACACACACACTTAACACGATTGGCAACTTGTTCGGTCGCATAGCAAGCTATGGTTTTAATCATTGTAAAAAAGCTTGCCTACGGTTATTGCATTGACAATAGAGCTGTATAACATTGATTTCTTTATACTCGCTGTGTTTGTCTTCAATCAGCTAGGCGCTGTCAAGAAATGTACACACACGAGCTGATTAGAGAACGCTTGGAGTATACCCAGGGGAAACACCCTCCCCTTATTGACCTCTTTAAAATGTTTAGTTTCACTTGTAAATAATGTACCTATCATCTGGTGTATTTCATCATCACTCATGTCCCTCGTAAATCAGTGTATTCGATAGACCGTCATATTTGTTATTCGAAATTCTTATAAAATTATGTCGGTTATGAGAAAAGAGTGTTTTATATTGTTATTATCTTCTTCATTATTAAAAGTCATTTTTAAATAGAACGCAGTATACTGCGCGGAACTGATAAACACAGAACACAGTGAATGTACGGAATGGAAAACAATGTCAGTTTCATCAGTCGTGTTTCGTCTTAGTTATTGTATTCAACTAATTCCCCAGTCGGCTCAACCTTTACAAATACAAAGTGACCAAATCAGCAAACTGTCACGGTTACAAATGCAAAATACTTCAAAAATGGAACAATATACATTATTAAATTAATATCCATGTGGGAGAAAATAAATTTAACTTTGAAAAACACAAAGATATTATCGTTAAGTGGATCATATTGTACTTGGATATCGCGCATACATTGAATTTACGTTCTTCGTATAACGCAAATGTCGCACTCGATTTTTCCAACGAAAACACTTAATCGATAAGTTATTAATTCAATAATTAATTAGGTATCTATTCTCACGCTCGTCTCAAACAAATGTATTTCATACTTGTCAGTTGGGATTGAATATACATATATCTTATATGCTGTATGTACACTGTGCATTATTTCGCGATTTCGTTGAATAATTACAATACAATAGCCCCTACTTTAGATGAGCCTGTTTCTCCGCCATGAAACATGAAAAAGTCAAGAAAGTCTCATAAAAGTTTGAGCTTCGGATAATAAATATCACGCGACCATCAACTTACATCATGTTTATCACGATGGCAACATCAGACCACCACCGAACACTGATGAATTGGACATTTTCAGATCAAAGCGAAAATATTACGCCATTTCTACTTATGATGGCTCATTGTTCAAATGTGCCGTTCTCAATCACCGGACACTCTGTCAATCAGCCTTCCACCTACAACGGGATACACGCAAGTCAAGGATATATCTAAGTCATCTCTGGAGTGACACATACGTAATCTAGGTGCACGATTGAAACGATAGCGTTTATCTTGTAGTGTTCAGGTTTTGAAAAACATTTTAACTACACTATGCCCAACTGTTCACCTAACTATATTAGCATTCCATTATGAAGCAATACAAACTAAATTTTCCGTTTCCGGTGTTTTGATGACATATCGCCATGTCTGGTGTCGCGGCATTCAATTTGATATATTTTTATCAGTTCAAAAACAAGCGACGGTGAGTTCGACCATGGTCCACGGCCCGAGGAGAACCACAATATCTTGTTTATGTGGCCATACAGTCAAAACTCTGACGTGTAGAGATCTGTATAATTACATTATACCTTAATTTGATGGTGAGTCAGAGTAACTTTATTGTATACATGGCGGTACCCACTTAATACCTATCATTGATCCCGGAATGCTCGAAGGAAACAATTTACAAAGACTGACATGTTTAGCTATTGGCATTCCCATGACTGTAAACTACTCGTACTGTTGCACGTGACACCAACATCACGGAGGAACTTTAAAAGGAATCAGGTTTTAGAAGGGAATATCAGTGTGTTTATTGATTGTCAGTCAAAAAGGCATCGATTAAATTTAATTGATCTTCTCTCCCCGAAAGTACTTCATACGGTGATGTGAATTGATATATTCTCGGGGCGAGACACTTTCGAATAAAATAAATTATCAAGAGTCGAGTATATTTAAACCTTACAATGCTCTAAAGTTTTCTTCTGTTTTCTGTTGAGATTTCCATAGTAACACACTCAGTCCCTCTATCGTGATAGAGAGACTGGGATAGTAAGTAACACAATTACCAATCAAACTACGATATCACACTAGAATAAACATGTAAGAGGATTATTTCCCCTGAAATGTGTATGATATTACTAGGAACAAAACAGATTGTTATCACTGAGGTGTTTTCAAGAAATCTAGTTGTTGTAGACTCAACATGTAGCCAATATTTTCGGGGATGTCTGAGAAATCCGAGTAATTTTCTGGTCAACAAGAAAAAATACATTGATGGATGTGACAACGGATCAATAATTTGAAAAGACATTTACGATATACTGTGGTGTTTAATTGGTTACTGCTATGTTCCAAGGCAATTCATTCCGACTATATCATAATGGGCCACGTGCTGCAATAGCTAAGTATAAATCAACTAAAGCAAGTCATACCAAAGTGGTATAGTGTTTGCAGTATCCGATCTTACTTTTTGTAAAGCATGGCACGAATTAAAAGTAAAATTTGATATGATGATTTATAAACGACAATTTGCCAAGTGGATTACTAAAAAATGAATTTATGTTTGCATCAAATTTTATATTTTACAATGTCATATACTTAATAATTCGCCGTCACAAAACCTAACAGATTGTGCTGTTTATACAACGTTCGATGTTTATAGAGTGCTGCTGCGTTAGTGAAACACAAAGCCCATCGATGAACACCAATATTCCGACTAGCGCATCGCACAGTCAATAGAGAGTTACAAAACGCCGGACGACCTTCACCACTCTATCATCACAGCGTCTACTCAGTTACCACATGACGGCTGTGACCATTACCACACCACCATCACAGCAAACAATGCGTGGCAACACAACAACAGTGATTATCAACATTCTTGCTTTAGCAGTTTTAGCGCAAATAGTAGGTTACAACACAACACCGTGAATAGTGGGTTACAACACAACACGACAGCGGCGACCTTCACCACTATAATTCACTACAAATACTGCGTTAAAAGACAACGATGATGACATCACCACTTCAGCCGTAACGCAAATCACGTGATCCAAATACTGACTGTTTTTCGTCAATTCTATATTGTCACGTGATACGAATATTGACCACGGGGATAAAATTCGTCTACCTTAGTTTTGTACTTGTTATAGCAAACTGACTAATTCTATATTGTCACGTAAAATACACATTGACTACTAATTTCATAATAAAATGTGATACAAATATTGATCACTAACTATAAGGTCATGTGACGAATTATTCCATGGGCATGGTGTGTATTTTTATGAGATAATCAAAATCGATATCTAAAATGATATCGATGAGTATTTCGTTTTAGTATGATGTTTGATTAGTATCGGCCGCAACTTGAAAAAGTGTCTTTGGCTATAAATTTAACCGTTAATACGATGCCATACATTCACCGGCAGATGGGAGCTTCGAGAGTTGGAATTGTGTAATCACGACAGTTCGTCATTTAAAGGCAATTTAAACAATCACTCTCGTGGGATTTGAGAAAAACAGACGACCAGTTGCTGTAGTAGACTTCTAAAGGCTTTGGTCACAATAGGAAAGCCTGAAAGCCACTCACAATAGAGTTGTAGATTCGTTACTGATGCTCATAGGAATCTCTTTATTCAAAATAATAAAAGCCCATTAAAGTGATATGAGTGGGCGATAAATACTCAAGAGTTAGACCGCAAATTTACTGAAAAAGTCGAAATTTTCACTATCAAATCTGAATCTAACAATCGACTTTGTTTCTAGTTATATTTTCTTTATATGCAATCAGTACGGTCATATTACCACCAACATTTCGGCCAAATCTCAATTAATTGACATTTTTCATCAATTTTGTTGATCATTAGATGTGGCAAGATGTAATTCATGGAGTCAATAAAAGTAATGCATATAATCATAGGCGGGTGTGAATAGATTTATTAGAACGAAAACAAAAACAGCGGAAAACGGATTTAAACAAATTAATTTATTATAATTGCAGCCTGGTCACTTTCATTGTCATTACTGTGAGTGGTCATTGCCATGGTCGTATTAAATTTAATTATTATTGTCGGTCACAGATATTTGATCTATAAACACATGAGCACAATTTTGGTTACAACTTGAATACATTGTTTAAAATTTTGATTTTAAAGGCAATGCCATTTTAAAGTCATTCACATCCCAACTGACTTTCCACCAAAGAACACAGCATTTTATTCACGTACCAGCAAGGTTCACGGATAAGTAACACTCCTTTAAAACAGCGAGTTATCTGAAACATTTTGTGTCACTGCCCGTCCTTCTCAGGTTAAGCTAAAACATAAACAAAATTTCCACTTTAACAGTGACAGAAACCAAAAATAGTCTTCAAACACACCCACGCTACAGCATTTTACATTATAAATTGTTGTAGAATTTGTATCTTGAAAGGTCGGTGGAAGGGGATTTTAAAGTGGCTTACTCACTCATCATTTTGGAGGTAACTAGAAAATACATATGATGCTCTGCTTCCTTTTATATTTTGCTATTTTCGGTATTATGAACGCTATAATGAGAATATTTTTAATGTAGAATATCTGTGGGCGTATTCCCCCACTACTGCATGTGTACAGAACGGTGTTGGTTGGTTGACATGACAGTCACGGTGAC